TCTTTCCTAGTTTCCAGAACCAAGGATAGGGGAGAGCAGAGCCTGGAAGAGGTCAGCGACTTGGCAGTGGTTTGTGGCCTTGGGATTTCCCCAGGGGATGCCCTCTGTAGTCACAGGGCTGGTTGTTTTGTAGAACAGGTGCTTAGTGGTGAAACAAATGAAAGAGTGGGGGTGGGGTGGCCTGGAGGACCAGTGTAGCTTTGGCCACCATACACATCTGGTGATGGGGGTTCCTGTTCAGCCACAAACTTTGCTCGTGGCTGGAAATGGTGGTGCTAATGGTAGGTGGATCTCTGCTGGACAGCAGGGACCCATTTTAACTCAAGTGTAATCAAAAGATTCTGAGTTCGATTTTCTGAGTATAAAACTTCTCAGATGACCATCAGTCTGCTGTGAGATGCAGAAAAGTGCTGCTAGAGTGCTGTAAATAGACTCTGGGTTCCTTGGTGTGTCCCCATTCCCCATGACATCCTCCAGAGACAGACTGCCAAGTGCAAGTGCATTATGGACCCGGACTCAGAGTGCAGCCCCTAGGAGAAAAAATTCTTACCAAAGCAGCAAGCAGTGAGATTTACTCACTCATACGAATGACTGAATGCTTAGAAAAGAATCTGACATTAAAGAAAAGTGAAAATGAGGCTGTTTGCACTTCCAAGGGGGACCTAAATGTGAGCTAGAGAGCTCAGCATGGCCAGATAGGCAGCATGAGGTCTACAGAGCTGAGAAGAGCTGTGCTAGGCAAGGCTTCCCTTACTGATCAATAGGCAGCATCATTAAAGGCCCTCCTTCCCCAAAAGAATTGCCTTTTAGGGGAGAAATCGTGGCCAGCCTTAGCAGTATAATAGATCACAACCCAGTATGGCTAGGTAAAGCAGGAAATTTTTACATGGCCATGTTTATGCCAAGAAGTTCCAACAATAGCTTTGATGCCACTGCTTAATAATTATTGACTTCACATAATTTTTCTTTCCTTCGAGCAACATTTTCTGAACTTTTAATGATGCGTGATGTAAACTTGAAGGATATGATTATCATGCAGACTGCATTTTTTTCCAAAATGAAAATACTTAGTATTTTTTGTTATTAAGAAATTCAAATAATAGAAAGTCAAGCTCCCCAAAACTCAAGAGAAAAAATAATGCAAGATAAAATGCAAGATAAAAAAAACATAAAGAACAAAAAACTATTAACAGTGTGGGTGAATACATATCCTTCCATCCTTTTAATGCAAATGCAAACCTACATTTTGACTTGAATATGATCATAAGGTAATACTATCCTGTAACCACCTTGTTTCACCCCTTAATATCGAACAGATCTACATGGACATCAATGCATTTTATCTACCTTACCTTTTCAAGGGCTTCATTGTAGTCCATTGTATGGATGTGATTTCATTACCCAATTTCCTTTTGAGGGACTTTTAGGCTGTTTCCAATTCCAGCATTCTTTGGTTATTACAAAGAATACTAGTAACTCTTTTTGACCTGTCTTTGAACACCCGTGCAACAATTTTTAAAGGATAAATTATTGGATGTGGTGGTCTTGCTAGGTCACAGAAGACATACCTTCCTAATTTTTGATAAATTTGTCAAAATTCTATGCATGAATTTACCAACTTGCACTGCTTTCAACAGTGTGACAAAGTGCCCTTTCCCTCGAATCAGTACCAACTCTGGGCATTACAAATCTTTGCTAAACTGATAGAGAAAAGGAATTTAGGTTATTTTAATTTGCATTTGTTCAATCAATAGTCACTTGGAGTCTGGTGTCATATGCTTACTGCCTACATATGTTTCTTTTGTGAATTAAATATTTTCTGATGAGATATTTACCTCTCACTTATTGAATTATTAGAGTTTTTATATATTAAGAATATTAGCACTTTATCACATATTTTGCATGCTATTTTGATAGCAGTAGAAAAATATCAAACACATATTCTTACATAAACTCTGTGATCATAGGCCCCCCCACTCCCCCAAGAAAACCTTCACAAAATTTTAGTTATTGACACAGTATTAGTTCCCTAGGGGTGCCATAACAAAGTGCCCCTAACGGGGTGGCTTAAAAGTATAGAAATGTGTTCTTTTCACAGTTCTGAAGGCTAGAATCTGAAATCAGATTGTTGGTAGGGCCATGCTCCCTTGAAGACTTCTAGGGGAGGAGCCTTTCTTGCCTCCTCCAGCTGCTGGTAGCCCCAGGTGTTCCTGGTCTGTAGATGCTACAGATCAATCTCTACCTCCATCACATGGCACTTGCCCTGTATGTCACTTCTCTTCTGTCTTATAAGGACACCAGTCATATTAGATTAGGGCCCACCCTAATGACCTCATCTTAACTTGGTTATACTTACAGAACCTACTTCCAAATAAAGTTAAATTCACAGGTACCAGGGTTAATACTTCAATCTATCTTTTGGGGGAGCACAATTCAACCCCCAACAGACACACACCCATCATGAAGTGTCTGATATCACCAGCATATTAGAAACACTGTAAGGACCCGGGCTAGGCCAGTCTTATTCCATATTCTAATTCCCAGTACTTAGCACAGTGTCTTACAGGCATTGGGCCCTCAATAATGATTTCTTAAAAGAAAGAATTTGACTTTTAAGAATATTAGGAATATTTGGCCTTTCAGATATTAAAAGATGTGTATAGTGAACACAAGAAGTCAGATTTTCTTTTATTTAAATTGACATTGAAAAATTTATAATTTAAAATGCATGCAAGTGGGGAGAACTGGACTACCCAGGAGAGGGACTGCCTCAGCCTCTTGAATGGGGACTTCAGCCAAGGGTGTGTGTTGGGTTCCCCAGGCACCTGTCCTAAAACAAGTCTTTGAGAATTTGCAGACAAGCACTCAGGTTCGAACCAAACTTATGTACCAGAATTATCAGGTTGGATGAAAAGAAAATAAGCCAATAGAACACTTAAAAATCCAAATTTAATATGTTTTCTTCATATTATTAAATATGATTGTCAATTTATCATATTCATATATCATATCATATCATGCCATATTCATAATCATGGAAAGCAGAGCCTAGCACATCAAATGTCAGAGTTTACTACAGAAACTTATTTTATAAGTGACTTCTTTGGACTTATTTAGTTTTATTTTTTTTATTTTTTAGAGACAGAGTCTCACTCTGTTGCCTGGGCTAGAGTGCCATGGCATCAGCCTAGCTCACAGCAACCTCAAACTCCTGGGCTCAAGCAATACTACTGCCTCAGCTTCCCATGTAGCTGGGACTACAGGCATGTGCCACCATGCCTGACCAATTTTTTCTATATATTTTTAGTTGTCCAGCTAATTTCTTTCTATTGTTTTAGTAGAGAGGGGTCTCACTCTTGCTCAGGCTGGTATCAAACTCCTGAGCTCAAATGATCTGCCAGCCTTGGCCTCCCAGAGTGCTAGAACTACAGTCGTGAGTCACCACACCTGGTGTGAACTTTTGGACTTATTTTAAAAAATAACTAATTTCCATTAATATAGGACTAATAGCCTCCAAATTATGCTGCAGAATTCCTATAACTAAACTTTTTTTTTAAAAAAAAATTTCACCTCCTAAAAAAAGATATGTTTACTACCATTAATTTTTTAAGTCAAGAATTTTCTCTAGGAGTTGATATATTTTATCTGTAATGTCTCCACTTTCCCTACATTCACCAATGTATCACTAAAGCTAGTCAAATGCAGTCATGTGAGGCTAGGCCTAAAATACCTTTATTGCTTTTACTTTTAGTGGCCATAGTTCCAATCCAAGAGCAACAGGCTGCTGTTCTAGGTCCTCATGTACACACATACAGCGAAGGTATTTCAATTTGAATAGATGCAACACGTTGATCCAGGCATTCTTTACCTGCACTCATGCAGACATGGTAGACCATATGTACAAAATTGAGCACCAAAGCCATTATTCAGATATACACAACACCAGTTTCATGTAACAAGTGCAGCTCCACAAAGCTCAGAAAGGCTTGGTTTAATACTCTGCTGTTGCCTTCTTGAGTTTCTTAATAATTTTTGAACTATGGGCCTCATATTTTCATTTTGCACTGGGCTCTGCCAATTATGTAGCCAGTCCTAGATATGCATAAAAGTTGCTTTGACCTGATTCTCTTGACTTGTGATCTGTGTTTTCATTTGGCATTGAAGATAGAGTTGTGGGTAGTTGCCCAGCAGCAGGATGACCCTAGTTCTAGAACATTTTCAAAAGTATATGTAATTAACAGGGGACAATAAAGGAAGGAAGCACACAAAGGTGATTTTTGTTTATATGTAAGTCGATAGAGTTGAAATTATACCCTCATTGGAATATGGAAGAATCAAGCCCAGTTGGAAGATATATATATATATATCAGCATCATGAAAGAACTAGTTCATTTGAAGTGCAAATATGTATGCATGTGCCAACACGCTAAATATAAATACATTCCTCTGTAATGTTTTTTTTTTTTATCATCAAGACAATTATTTTAGCAATTCAAACAAAAAGCAAAGTAGAATCTGTTCAAGGTCTGAGCTTGGCTATTATTTATCAGAATAGGGAAGCAAACCTCTTCTGAATTGGAAAGTTTTTCCTGCTTTTCTTTAAAAGAATGATAGGGAATAGTTGGTCTAGAAGTGCCATACAAAGTCTATCCTCTATTTATAGACAGGAATATACATTTCATTACAGAGCATGGTCCTCTGTTCAGGGGAACAGAGTATGATTTTATTTTATTTATTTTTTATTTTTTTTAGAGACAGGGTCACACTCCATTGCCCAGGCTAGACTGCAGTGGCATCATCATAGCTCACTGTAACCTTGACCTTCTTGGCTTAAGCAACCCTCCTACATCAGCTCCTCAGGTAACTAGTGCCACTACTGTACCCCTGGCTAACTTTTAAATTTTTTGTAGAGATGGGTCCTTGCTATGTTGCCCCGGCTGGTCTGGAACCCCTGGCTAACTTTTAAATTTTTTGTAGAGATGGGTCCTTGCTATGTTGCCCCGGCTGGTCTGGAACTCCTGGCCCCAGGCAATCCTCCCACCTCAGCCTCCCAAACTGCTGGGATTATAGACATGAGCTGCTACACCCAGCCTAGACTGAGATTTTAAAAGGACAAGTTGTCAAGGAAGAGGAGTTCTTTCTAGTTACCTTTGAGCCAGGAGAAAGGCTCACTGGGCAAGGAAGCACCTTTGAGGCCATTGAGGGCTTCTAACCCTGGCTGCACATTAGAAAAATACTGATGTCTGATCTTCATACCACATGAATTAAATTACAACCTAGGAGTGGGGCTCAGGCAAGGGTACTTTTAAAAGGGGTTCCTGGTGATTCTTATTTGCATCCAGGGTTAAAAACCACTGGGCTTTTGCATGCACAAAAAGAAAGGATTGGGCTATCTCAAAGTCATACAGGACTTTGGAAATTTAAAAATTAGATTTGTATTTATAGCTGATTATACTTAAACATAGACACTGTTAACATAGTTATTCCTATGTAATGTATTAACTATAGGTAATTACAAAATATTTTATAAATAATTTAATGATTGCTCTATAAGGGTAAACAACACTTGCAATAAATAGGAAGATATTTAAGAGATGAAGATTTTTTTTATAAGGAAGACATTTCAATTCTTTTTAGGAAATCTGAAAGATGTGTCAAAGTTTGAAAGTCGTTTAAACTGAGAAATAGATAGGGCAAGTAGTGTTGTTCTTAACTTGGAAAACTTTTAAGATATCAAATATCTTCTTCCATTAAAAAAGAAAGAAAAAGAATACTCAGACCAAAATTTAAAATTAAGGCATTTGGAAACTAATTCATATTTTATTAGACTGCTTCCTTTAATAATATATATTTTAAAAAACTCCACTAAACATCTTTACAAATAAGTCCCTAAAATTGTAGTAATTTTTGAGTAGAAATTATTTTTCAACTAATTTTTGAGTTCTAGGGTAAGGGTGTCCTTGAAGATTTCACAAGTGTGTAAAGAGCTGTGGGAGGGTGGCAATTGAGGAAGAAGAGAAGTAGGGAAAAAGGGAGAGAGGAAATGTCCAGGCATGAAAGAGTCCCTTTACTTACTGCCTGCTTCCATGCTGGAGAAGGCTACACCAATTGTGCTAGATAATTCACTCTCGTGGGCAGAGTTGAGACAAAAGGTCTCATCTCTATTTTTTATATCCATGACTCTGGAACCAGACCAGCAGAGGAGGGCCAAGGCACAGAGGTTCAGATTTGCCCTTATGTGTTTGTGTGTCTCAGTTGCACATAGTAAAAGAAGCTAATTGCAAAAGACACTAAAAAGAGTAAGTAGCTTGCTTTCCTTGCTTTTAGCACGCCACTAACATCTGCAGACACTGAAGGGGTGTTTGGAAACATCATTTAAGAAATGAGATAAAGGTTATGATGATTACATATTTTTCTGTGAAAAGCTTGAAGAACATAAGGATAACCAATTTGAGAGTAAACCCAGGTGAAAGCAGATGTCACCAATCATTCTAAAGAATTTCCAGAAGCACTCAAGAATAAGGTAGTCAAAATATGAGGCACGATAAGGAAGTCATTGGTCTGTTTAAACTTAGAATACTCTCCAACATCCCTGAGACAAATGAGAAAAAAACAAACCTGCAAATAAACCTAGCACTGAATGGTACTTAAGCAAATAATCAGCAATGCCAACCTTTTTTCTTCAGTGAAGAGTTCAGCCAGGAAAAGATCTGTATTTCTGAAGTGCCAGCTTTCACCATGTCCTACGGCATTTACAACCCAAGTTTGATGACTGACATGCTAATTTAAAGCTTTAGAACACCAACTTGTTTTTAATTCTAGCCCAAAGCACTAGGCTGAATGTTTCTCTCCTTGTTTGATGCCAAGAACAAGATGTAGGAACCAATTAAACTGCACAGTCCATCCTTTATCTCTGCAAACTTCAATCTGATCAAGAAAATACTTTTTAGCATCCTCCTCACTTTTCCCCACTGTGAGGGCGTCGCGGATATATTCGATATCTTCTTTGCTTGTTAATTGGGGCATTCCCGTCATCAGCATCATGGAGAACAGGATGATCAGTAGGTTCGTGTGATGACGAAGGGCTAAATAGGCCTTAACACAGACGTCCTGGAGGAAGGAGACGAAAATGCTGTTACTGTTGGTGCAGTAACTAAGTAGGCTGAAGACCACTGGGCTGTATTGGGGCTTGCATACCATTACCTCTCTGTGAGAAGAAACCATCACAAACAAGGTAGATCCCTGTCTCAGATGAAAAACTTCATGAGAACATAAACTGTTTTTTATAATCTCTTAACACTTTAGTGTAGTTGCATGTATCTGGAGATTGCTCAAGCAAATCTAATTGGTACAGGTAAGCTTCATCTTATTTATTACTCTACCTTTTAAACTTAATTTCTTTCCCAAGAGACAGAGGGGTGAACATTTCTGTAATCTCTGAAGCGGAATGAGTTAGTTTTTGAACACCATGCTGGAATTAATAAACTTTACGTAAGTGTTAATAATGTTTGCCAAGAGCTAATGAAATCCAAAGAAATGATGGAAATATGGTGTCTGAGATTTAGTTTTCATCTTTACTTTACACTTTGTTCTATTCTAAGAAAACAGATGAATTAGCTTTTCACTGTTTGATGCTCAAAATTGTTGAATGAACTTTGCAATTTTAATACAAATTCTAAATACTGAGTGAGGAAGGGGAGTTTTAAAAATGCTATGGTTGATGTATTCCCAAAAAGCTTTGCAGCAGGCGATACAGGTGGGTTATGTTCACTTACTAAGCAACATGTATAACTGGCCCAGAGAGGCAAGGTTCCCAGTTTTACAACATGGGAATAACTGAACCATAACACTATCACTTGATAAAGACAGCATAGTAAAGAAAATTAATGTGACTGATTACAGATATGAATATTTCAATAAAACGTTGAACAAAATGTTAAAAAAACCCACATCATAGCCAGATAGGGTTTATTCCCAAACTGTAAGATTAGTTTATCGGAAATTACTGTATTAACATCCATTTTTGACTTTTAAAAAAGTAACATGCAACTTAATGTCATTAAAATGTAACAATGTGAAGAATTATCTGACATTATCAAAATAGTTCTAAATAATAAAATACTTGAAAAAAATGAAGTATAAAATCAGAAAAGTGAAGGTAAAATTATTAGTATTAACAAATGACCTAATTGTCTTCTTGGAACACTGAAGGGAAGAAAAACTTTAATATTACTGTACATAGTTTTTAACTTTTCATAAAAAGAAATAAATACAATGCTGTAAATAGGAGCCATAGTTGGAAAGTATAATGAAAAAACAGATGCCATGATTAATGATACCTAGGTTAAACACAAAACATGCAGAATATCTTTTTAAAAACTGTAAAATGTTAGTGAATCACATAAAAGAAAACTTGAGTACATAGAGCAACGTATGTTCCTCAGTGATAAGTCTTATTAGAATGATGTAAATTATTCTCAGATTAATCTAAAAACATAATGAAATTTCAGTAAAAATTCTTACTGGACATTAAAACTCAGATATGGTTTAAGTTCATCTGGAATATAATAGTTAGGGCTGGAGAGGACATTTTGAAAAAGTATAGTAATGAAAACCAGTGCTTGCAAAACCAGATATTAAAACATTTTATAAGACTACAATATTAAAAATGGTGTGAAAAAAATCTATTCTTTTCCAAAAAAGACAAATTTTGTGAAACAGAATGGAAAGTTCGGAGACACATCTATCTAAATACATAATAAATATGATATATAATAAAGATGACTTCTCAAATTGGTGGGGAAAAGATTTATTATTTGATAAATGGGGCCAGAAAAACTGGCTCATCATTTGGGGGGAAAAGTTAAATTTTTACTCCATGTGATATATTAATACTAAAATACATTCCAGATGAATTAAAGATTTAAAATAAAAAGAGCAAATATTTAAATAATCATGGAGTGTGACAGGACTATGAAGATGACTTCCAACATGGAACCTATAAGGAAAAGACAGAGAGATTACAGAAACTTGAAATTTTGGGGGAAAAAAAGTATAAACAATATTAAAAAAGGCCGATGACAAAAGTAAACATACTTGCAATATGACAGGTCACTCCTCCATGCCTAGCTCCCTAATTGGTCTTACAAATCAGTAAGAAAAACAGAGAGAGTTAGCTAGAAATCAAGCCAAGGACATAAACAAAAATTCACACTATACAACATAAAAACAGATAATAAACCTATAAAAAATATGCAACCTCATTAGTATTCAAATAAATATAACTTAAAATCAGATGGAAACACCTACAAACTGGAATTTTCTTTTAGTCTTTTACGGAATCTAATATTCAATGTTCCCCTTTCATAGGCTGATGGTAGATGGGAACAGGTATAACGTTACCAGTAGACAACTGGATAAACATGCATCAAAAGCTTTAAAGTCCTTGTAAGTGTTATATAATTTAATTGTGGTGGTGGTTACATGACTGATGCATTTGTCAAAATTCACAGAAATGTACACCTAAAAAGGGTGAATTTTTCTGTATTTGAAATATGCCTCAATAAACTTGAGTTTAAAAATATCTATATCCTTTTACCCAACAATTTCCATGCTTGAAATTTACCTTTGAAAAAATCAGAAAAATTTTCAGTGATTTATCTACTAGGGTGTTCATTAGAACACTGGTTAAAATTGCAGCAACTTGAAAGCAACCTAAATGCTCTCTAATAAGGGATTGATAAAAAAGGTTTGTGAAAAGTACCTACAATTACATGTTCTGCAGCTACTAGAATAATATTGTGGAAGAATATTTAACAAGCACGTAAAAGTGTTTGTGTTAAGAAGCAGGTTTAAAAAAACCACATCCCATTTTGGTAAATTAACACAGAATATGTATATAGAAAGAAGAATATAAGTTTACAGGTCAAAATGTTTAATAGTGAATTTTCTGTTGCTTTTATATGATCTTGTCTGTGCCATTCATATGTGGCAAAGTAACCGCATGGAGGTCAGGCCTCCGTGTGTCAAGGCTGGACTGTGCATTTATGCATTGCTCTGGCCAAGTTACAAAGACCCATGGACTATTCTGGCATCTTCCAAGTGAGACAATACATGAAAAACGCGTGGCATGGAGGCAGGCACAAAGCAAGGGCTCAATCAAATGTCAGTACTCTCCCTTCCCTACTATTCACCCTGCACCTCCTCTCTGCTCACCATGAAGCAGGTGACTCCATCAGCCCTAAAGTCGGGTTGGGCTGCTGCCGCCTGCGCCCAGCCATCACTTGCGCCCTGGAAGTGGCCCCAGTGCATTAGTGCTCTTGCATTCTTAATAACTCCACTTATGTCCAGAAATAATTTTTTTTTCTCTTCCATAGGACCCACTGAGGTCTTTCTCATTTCTTGGTAATTACACAGCCTAAGTGCAGACGTCACCCCAGGCAAGAGTCTTATTAATTTGCTAACTCACACAATTTTCACAAGGGCATAGATGGGGAAGCCTTTTGCTTTTGAATTGGATTACATTCTGATTTTTAATTATTTTCTATCCCTCTATACACCAGGAGCTCCAGGCAACCCCCCTGCTGTGCAAGCCCACTGCATGGTCAAACTCTTTAATAAAATTTTCAAGGAGGGATATTAACCTTAGGCCAAGTTATTTACAACACCAATCCACTGGTGCTCAGTAAATATTTGCTAAGCATGTACGTGAGGAGTCACGGATCCCTGCAGCACCCAAAGAGAGGCGTGAACGGAAAGGAACTGTCCTACTTTTCTTGAAGGCCATCTAACCCACAGATAGGATTTCTGATGGCTCCAATTTATTCCGTTAGTTATAATTTTCACCCATGAGGGTTTCTTCTATGAGAAAGAAATTTCTTCCCCAAATTTAACTGCATGCCCCATGCTTGTCAGACACAATGTCCACATTCTGACTGGCTGCACGGACCTAGAGACCTGGTGCAGATGTGATTATCCTTTGCTGAAAGGCAGGGTGGAGCAGTGGTAGACAGCTCAGATTCACACACAGCTGTGTGAATTCAAATCTCGGCTTCATTACTGACAAGCTGTATGGCATTAGAGAAGTCTCTTAACCTTTTTGGACCTCAGTTTCCCTATAGAATGAGAATAACAATAACAATACCCATTTCGTCTGGTTGTGGTGAGATTTAAGTGCTATGTAAGAGGATGGCTATTACTACTAATAAATACCATGACGAGTTGCCTTACGGAACACACACTGCTCAACGGTCCCTTTCCATCTAGACTATTGCTCCACAGTGTCTCCTTAGGCAGCAAAGGCCTGGCGGGTGAGGTAGGCTGGAGCACTAGATAAGCCTCACCCCAGCCAGCATCAAGCAGGGCGGGGCTGTTTGGTGCTGGCCAGCGAGGTGGGTGGGGTGGAAGCACTGGGCACACCGGCCATATCTGCAGGTGCTTCTCTTCCCTTGGGGGGCACAGCTGAGCACTTGCTCCACCCACATAAGCCCCAGAAGTTTCATTTCTGCCCTCTGCACTCAGCCAGGGCGTGTGTGAGAGAGTCCATGACCATGTGGCTGCCCAGAGGCCTGTGGTTTGAGGGACTATGAGGATGTGGCTTGGGGAGCTCAGGGGAAAACACAGAACACAGAAGTTACTGGCTGTCACAACAGAATTTTCCGTTCTGCCAGGGCAGCCTGTCATTGACCCCAAACATCCTTATTCTCTCCTTCTCAGTGGCCTGTTGATGGCTTTGTAGTATTGAGTGGAGAAGAAGAGTAAAGGAAAAATCTGATTTTGGGGACTGGGTTTAATGTACTTGTTAATGAGTGTGACTGTGGTGAACATTACATTATTATTAATGTCATTAGCTAGAACACTCTCCATTAGTAGCTAATAAATAGATTGAGCCTACGTAGTACATCTGCTCTTAATTTCATTGTTGATTCAAATGCCTTAATTATAGCATCTAGCACTAAAAGAAAGAATTGTTTTTACAAAGTTACCACCCCCATAAGTCTTGGGAACAAAGGAATTCATTACCATTTTAGGCCCCAAACTTTGCCTTGATTGGCTAACTGGCCCAACTATCAGTTCACCAAATTGAAGACAAACTACTTCTATGCACAATC